ATACATCTAAGGCATATTACCTGACCTCTAGAGTGGCATCTCAGGTTGAAATAGTGTGTAGATTCCTTCAAATCACAACAAAATAAAACATAATGTATGACCCTTGACTTGGCTTAAAATATTTTGATTATATTTCTCAAACAAATATGAGTATAAAACTAGAAATATGTTTCTTATCCTTATAGCTCTTATAAAATTAAAACAAAAAGAAATTTACAAAGCAAATACTAAAAAAATAATAAATGTATCTTAGTACAAATCTACTGAGACAGATGATGTTTTGCTGAAACCAGATAGTTGCATACAATGTAAATATAGTGCTGTTAGGGCACTAATTATTGCAGAGTGCATAGCTTAACACAATACAACCATGGGCTATATAACAAATGATTAAGTTTTCCAACTCATTTCTCCTTTTGACTCCAGTGAAAATTTTGCACCACATTTAATATATCATTTAGCTTTCATTTGGTATAAATGGATTGTTTATTTATTAACCCATAAGCCAGAATTATTTTAAATAACACCTCATGACACAACACATTTCAACAAAAGCATATCCAGACTCCATAGTTAGGGCATTCAGCTGATCCTAGGTTCATAATATGCTCATGTTGAAACTTTTCAAACTATTGCCAGTGCTTATGAGATTGCTGGGGGAAACTTGTAGGATCCCTCAGAGTAAACTTGCAGACTTCAAGGAGAGAAACATGACCCAGGAACATATTATTTAGCTATAAATCCTTCTCTATTTATTCTGGAAAATCATTCCCTAAATGCCATCAAAATTAAAATGTTAGTTCAAACGTGTCATAATTTTCATGTTCTTAGATTCTTAAAATAAATATTTCATATTTGTAATTTAAACCAAAAACCATTATGTCTAATCCCTTTAATAATGAACTAAGACAATGTTAGTGTGATATGCCTAAATCATAGTCACAAAATACCATGGGAATGACAAGATTTTTAAAATTAATTATATTAGACATTAATTATCACACTAATACAAGATTTTCATGCAGCTAGAATTTTATAATTCAAACATTTCTTGAATAAAAGAAAAGCAAATATTACAAATGCAAAGCAAGGTTAATCCCATTTCAAGTAGCATTTTGCCAGTCAAATCTCCTATTTCAGCAATTCAAGTAATCCACCACAGTATTGACTGACTTAAAAAAACACACATTTAATAATTCTTTTAGTGATGAACTTATAAAGATTGCAAAAGAAATAGCTGAGAGGAACTGAACCTACTTCTATGGAATGAAATGCAGATTAGAAATAGTTAATATAAGGAAAATATATTGAATAAATCACCCATTAAAGATACAGAATAGTTATAACATGAACTCTGAATTTCTCATCACAGGACATATATGGATAATTAGCTAGTGATATATTGGTATACATAAAAATACAGATATGAATGTGGTTATAGTTAAAGAGAATTTTTAAAAGTATTTGTATATGGATATAGATGCAAAATGTGGTAAAGAAGAATTTTTAAAATATACATATAGAGTTAAGGATATAGCTATAAATGCAAATATGGTTAAGAAAGATTCAAAATAATATTTAAGGATATAAATGATTTAAAATGAAAGATGTGGAAAAGAAGGAAGGCAGAAGGAATTCACTAAACTTTCTCATAAACAATTTAGTATCAATGTCATATGGACAATGCATAACTTTTAATCTGATAACCAAGAATGACCAGTGTCATCTGCACTCCTCCTCGTCTGGCCCCTTAAGTTTGCCTTCCCAGTTTGACTTTGTTTTTCAATATCTACATCTCATATCAGTTGTCACTTTTTAGTTTCACAGCTCAAATGCTGATTTTAGAGTGACTTTCTACTGCTACTGGTATGTTGTGACTAAAGATTCCATCTTTCATAATTACTTTTTTTTAAAAAATGTATTTTTACTTATTTCAGAGAGGAAAAGAAAGAGAGAGAGAGAGAGAGAGAGAGACATTAATAATAAGAGAGAATCATTGATCAGCTGCCTCCTGCATCGATTAGTTGCCTCCTGCATTCCCCTCATTGGGATCGAGCCCACAACCCACCTGGGCATGTGCCCTGACCAGGAATTGAACCACAACCTCCTGGTTCATAGGCCGACACTCAATCACTGAACAATGCTGGCTGGGCTTTCATAATTACTTTTAACTGTTCTTTGTAATCTGTACCATACAAAATATTCTAGTGTGGTTTAGAACAGAAATCGTGGCATCAGATAGATTGGCATTCTAACCTTGGTTCTACAATCCATACTTGTGGTGTGACATTGGATAATTAGTTTAACCTTTAAAAACAGGGGAGGACAGTGCTTACCTCTCTCTGTTGCTCTGAGGACCAATAAGAGAGCATACTGTTGTGTATATTAAGCATGATATATAAGTGTAGGGTGCTTTTTTCTTACATTGGATTTTCACTTTTCCTTTATGACTTTTTGTGTGTAAATGTACTGCTTTGTTGTGTTGTTATGGAAAGTTTTCTAGAACACAAAAGCTTTAGGACAGACAATAATATATCCAAGGTAAATGACACCATCAAGATTCTCTTTTGGTACGAAAATGTCTTTTTTTATGGTTTTTATCTCTTTCCTATCACCAATATTCACAATTTTACATATTTTTGGTGTGAAAAATAAGCTAATCTTCACACCAACTTAAATGTTTCCCATTCTCAATGTTTGAGTTAAACATAGAAATCAATTTAAATGTTATCCATCCTCTATGTTTGAGTTAAACATAGAAATAATGCTAAGTAATTGCAAAAAAAATTAATTCAATTTCACAAATAAACCTGCAATCAAAAAAAAAGACCCAAGAAACAAACTGTAAATTCAGGAAACACATTTTGTATAACATCTAGGCCACAATACTAGTAAAGGTTTAATGATATGAGATTAAACACACACACACACACAAAGGAGAACATGCAGGCCAATCTAAAGAAAAACCAAACTACATTTTATTCATTAAATATGCTTTATCACTAAATATAATAAATAGTATATTACCCTACATCAGGGGTCCTCAAACTACGGCCCACGGGCCACATGCAAATACAAATATTGTATTTGTTCCCGTTTTGTTTTTTTACTTCAAAATAAGATATGTGCAGTGTGCATAGGAATTTGTTCATAGTTTTTTTTAAAACTATAGTCCGGCCCTCCAATGGTCTGAGGGAGAGTGAACTGTCCCCCTGTTTAAAAAGTTTGAGGACCCCTGCCCTACATTATAATTGCACAGTTATATGGACTGTATGGATACCCCAAAATACTCTTTTAATAAAGACAATTGTTATTTTTTGAGAGTATCATGCTAAGTAAATATAAGTCAGATGAAAAAGGACAAGAACCATATGATTTCACTCATGTGTGGGATGTAAAACAAAATGCAATGAATGAACAAACAAACAAAGAAACAGAAAACAAATTAATAGATACAGACAACAGAATGGTGGTTACCAGGGAAGAAGTGGGTAGGGGAAGGATAAAAAGGGTAAAGGCAGCCAAACACAAGGTTATGAAAGGAGACTAGACTGGGTAGTGAGCACACAATTGAATACACAAACAATCCTATATAAGAGGGTAATATGCAAATTGACCAAATGGTGGAAAGACTGGTCCTTATGACGCACACTGACCACCAGGGGGCAGACGCTCAACACAGGAGCTGCCCCCCCCCCCCCCCCGGGGGGGGTGGTGGTAGTGTGCTCCCACAAGGGGAGCGCTGCTCAGCCACTGGTGAGCTCAGCAGCCCACCTCCAAGGCAATGCTAAGAATGTCCAACTGCAGCTTAGACCTGTTCCCTGTGGGGAGCGACCTAAGCTGTCAGTTGGATATCCCCCTGAGAGCTCCTGGACTGCTAAAGGGTGCAGGCTGGGCTGAGGGAACCCTCTACCCCCTGTGTGCACCAATGTCATGCACCCAGCCTCTACTGTATTATAAAATTGTATACCTGAAACTCATATAATGTTATTAACCAATGTTACCCCAATAGGTTTAATTGAAAACACAGAAAGAAATAAAATGTAATGCTAGAAGAAAATATGAGAACTAACATAAATAGAACAAATATTTGCGAATGTATATATGAAAAATATTCACTATTGTTTCACTTCTTTTGTGAGTGTTGCACTATTTAGAGCAAAACATATGCTCTTAGACTTAATGTGAATATGGTTATATTTAACTTTATAAATCAAATGTATACTTCACATATTTAAAAAATATTTTCATATCTTTAAGGGCAAAGTTTAAATGCTACCTTTGCCATGAAGTTTTCCCTAGAAAGAATTACTGTTTGAAATATCATTGCACCTTATAACCATCTCATTTGCTTTTATACTAAGGCACATGTCTCCGTATGTTTAAGAATGCTTAGCACCGCATGTCATCAATATAGTAAATGCTAAAATCAAGTTGAAAGAAATAAGTTATTCTAAAGAGTAGGCATTTAAAAAAAAAGATTTCCCACTGATTTTTAGAGCTAGAAGAAGGGAGAGGGAGAGACAGAAACATCGATGTGAGAGCGAAACATCATGTTGCCTACCAGAGATCGAGTCTGTAACCGGAGCATGTGCCCTGACTGGGAATCAAACCGTCAGACTTTCCGTGCACGGGAAGATGCCCAAACAACTGAGCCACACCGGCCAGGGCAGGAGTAGGCATTTTAAAAAGAATGTTGTACTATGGTTATTTGCGTGCATGTTTGTACCTTGTACCTTTGAAATAAAATGCCTCAAGATACCAGAGTAAGATATCTAAAAATAGAGGCTGTAACATATACTAGTCCATCCCCAGGAACATTTCACGTAAATAAAATTTTGTTGTAGAAAAGAAACATAACTTATGATTTTCCATCCATGGAAGCAAAGTTAAGTTTTCTCTAAACATTGATGGGGGAAATTAGATCATTCTAACAGAAACAGATAACTTGTTGGTGGAGCAGTGCAAACGCAGAGTGGGACATAACAGGAGGGACTTACAACCATCTTGTTGAGCGACACCCAGCAGTCGGAGGGGAAGTCCTGTAGCAGCGGCACCAGGAACTGCAGGCAGCCGTCCCAGTGGCACAGCAGCAGCATCATGCCGATGAGGTTGAAGATGCGCACCACCGCGCTGGCCAGGTCGTAGGTCATGTGGAAAATCTGGGACCAAAACATAAAGTTGGTTCTTATAATCAAATTTTTTTAAAAAGTCAAGAATACTACCAATGTCAGTAGTCATTGATATTACATAGTGTAAGTACTGATTTCATAAAAAATATGAGAAGACTTTTACAAAGAGAAACAGAATTCCATTTCTTTCTCTCTGCACGGAGACCAGGCATTCCGCTTTCTGAATACTACAAACGACTGTGAGTCCTCCGCAAAGAACAGAGATAACAGAGATACATTAAATGTATGGGTCACATTTAAAAAGCATTGGTTTTGCCCAGCCAGGTGGCTCAGGGGTTGAGCATCAACCTACGAACCAGGAGGTCAAGGTTTTCCCCAGTCAGGGCGGCACATGACCAGGTTGTGGGCTCGATCCCCAGTGGAGGGTGTGCAGGAGGCAGCAGATCAATGATTCTCTCTCATTATTGATGTTTCTATCTCCCTCTCCTTTCTTCTCTCTAAAAACCAATAAAAACATATTTTAAAAAACATTGGTTTTGCAAGTAATTTTCATTTATGTTCTTCTGGGCATTTCAGCAAAGCTGCTTTAAAACATGATAGCAAAACTGACAAGTGATAGCAACCCTCTTCTTTTTCTCATTCCTTATTAAGATAAGGGACTTACTGAAGGACAAAATAATAATAATAATAATAATAATAATAGTAAGCTAAGAACTAAAGACCACTGACAAGGGGAGTTTAATTGTAAAATATAAAGACTGGGAATTAATTGCAGTTAACTTTTAGCTATATGAGTGCAATTCTTTTTTTTTAATATATTTTATTGATTTTTCACAGAGAGGAAGGGAGAGGGATGGAGAGCCAGAAACATCGATGAGAGAGAAACATCAGTCAGCTGCCTCCTGCACACCCCCCACTGGGGATGTGCCTGCAACCAAGGTACATGCCCTTGACCGGAATCGAACCCGGGACCCCTCAGTCCACAGGCCGACGCTCTATCCACTGAGCCAAACCGGTCAGGGCATGAGTGCAATTCTTTATCTGTGTATATTGAACATGAATAGTAGCCTTTGAGATAACAATTCCCTGGATTTGGTTAAAAAAAAAAACAGTTAAGCAACATTTAACAAAGAATAAAATTGTTATTTCCATTTATATTGTTTGCACGGTACAGGCTACCCTTTTCTATGACTCTTTCTTATTGACATTTTTAAGAAATTAATAAATATGGCTACACTATATATGCAAAGACACAGCACATTGAGATATTTTGAATCACATTTTGTATAATTCTCAGAAGAATAACTTACTTTGGAAGTAAGAAGGACAAGTATTGCAAAATTCTCTGAGGAAAAGAACAAGCCCCACAAAATTTGTATTTTGATTTAGAAAACAGATCTTTGTAAGGAAACTTCTATAATTCTTAATAGAGGTAAGATAACAGGATTGTTGGAGTTTTTCTGTTATAAAATCACCCAATCTGTCTGTCTTCAATTAAATGTTTTCCACCTTGCTCCATTTCTATTAGCCATTAATTCTTTCTTTAAACTATCTCCCTTTTTGACACAGCAATTACAGTGAGCAAAAATATAATCTTGCTTTGTGAAAATGTACGCACTGTTCTGAATTCCTTTCAAAAGTAAGTTTGGGGTCCTAGATTTAAAGGCAACAGCTCATGAATTTTGACATTCAGACAGCTATACACATAATTTAATTAAGGAACTGACAATTTTATTTTCCCTTAAGTTATTTTTTAATTTGTTTTTGTATTTGGCAAACCCATCGAAAAGTCCTTTTGAGGTTATTGCTTATGATATTTCTTGGTCACTGAATTTGTAAATAGAAATTGTATAACGTTTTCATCAAAAATTTCTCATTAAAAGTAATACAGTAAAACATAATAAAAAAAGGTTTTTACTATTAAAGTAGAAAAAAAATCACCATGGATTAAAATTTTGTTGTTGTTTAGTAATAGAAGTCTATTTATACCTAAGTATTTCCTGCTAAAATAGTTCAATATAACTTTTGTGCATTGTTGGAAAATAGGGTAACGTTACAGAATGTGAACTCTGGAGCAAATAAGAAACTAATTACCTTTCAACCCGATTCCCTGAAGTAAACAATAACTATGTGAAACCCTTGCCCAAGTCTGTACATTATAAGCACACAGGTAGCAGTCATCATTCAGTTACAGACTGTAGAGGGAGATTAGGGCTGTTAGAGGGACTAGTGCCATTCTTAGTAAAGCTGACTTCCATGAATTTTCTATTTTGTTTTTATGGAATTTGATTTTCTCTGTGAAATCTTCAGGGATTACTTAGTGAATTAAAGGTAACATATGCTAATATTCACCAATGCCTTTAGAAAAACCCTATCACTTCTGAAATGTTTTCCAGAGAAACATAAGCACTATTTTTATAAAGGAAGTTGTTGGGGGGAAAAGAGGCCTTTCATAACATATTAGAAACACGTTGTTTCCATTTACTTATTTATTATTTATTTACTTATTTATTTTTGGTGCTACCATAATATTAAGGAACTCCTACTATAACAGGAAAATCCCTAGAATCAAGCCTGTCCTCTACCCCATCCATCCCTAACCTCACAAAGCTAGCATACAGTATTAGTACAAGATTTATATACTAAGTCTAGTACTATAAAGAGCGCTCAGCAATAATTCACATAATTAATTTCATAAATTGTCTCCCCTTTTGGCCTTTAACATTATATGTTCAAATGTGATAACACTTTTTGGAACTACCTAAGTTTAGAAGAGGCAGAAGCAAGTTGGCTATTTTGACACTGGTTAGTATTGGAGGCCAATTGTAAATAGTCAAATCCAAGTATCTCCACCTGATTTATCTACCTTACAGAAGACCGTCATGATGTACATAGTGCTCATTTTGATGTATACACACATGAGTGTGTGTAGTGCCTGCCAGGGCCCCACCTGGTTGTCCCTTGAGCTCCTATAATTCATCCACTCAGACAGGCACAGTCATAAATCACCGGGGGCCAGTTGCTGAGATTATTAATGGCCCTGTTAAAACCTTGCTCATGGAATATTTGGATTGATAAGACCATTTTCTTATGGAGCTCAGACACCTGTAGACAGTCAAGCTAACCCAAGAAGTAAACATCTGACCTAATTCATGCATTGCCACAACTTCTCAGTGTCTAAGTGTGACATTACTGGACTATATGGTCAAGCAGACCATACCATTGATGACAATAGCTTCTGGTTGTTGTTTTTTTTTCCCATCTAAGAGGTGAATATGTATTGTTGAGTGATGAATTCCTGTCTAAATCAATTATATTAATACTACTTCCTGCAAACTTGACTTCACACAAAAATAACACCACAGATGATGCTCAGTAAACTGTTGCATGAATGAATGAGAACGTTGCAGGTGTTTAACAGTAAGAGCATAAGTAACCGCTTCTGTGTTTTTAATCAGGGAATTAAAAAGTTAATTAGTCTCTATCTTCCTAGTGAATTGACTTAAAACCTGATTTGCATGCTCAGGGTGTGGGTGGCAGAAAGACAGGACGTTCTGACCACAAGCAATATGCTTTTAAGTGGTATTTGTAAGAGTCAACTGGAAAAAAAAAGAAGTAAAATAAGTTTTAAAAGCAGTTCTTTCATTTCCTTTTCATGAAAAAATCAGACTACAAAACATATCAGTGGAAGGCACTTGCTTTACATTTGTCTAGCTCAGAACACTGTGTTGTTCATATGGCTCAGTGAAAGAATAGATCTGGTCTCAAATCCCCACTCAATTCTTTTTTTAAAATATATTTTTATTGATTTCAGAGAGGAAGGGAGAGGGAGAGAGAGAGACAGAAACATCAATGATGAAAGAGAAACACTGATCAGCTGCCTCCTGCACGCCCCCACACTGGGGATTGAGCCCACAAGCCGGCATGTACCCTGACTGGGAATCAAACCCAATCAAACCCACCTCCTGGTTCACAGGTCAATGCTCAACCGCTGAGCCATGCCAGCTGGGCCTCCCTCAATTCTTTTTATAATATTATAGTTGTAGAGTTCTGCCCAGCTGGAGTCCAATGACTCCAGATAAGATAGCTAATCAACTTCCCAAAACTAAAAAATGCTCTGATTAAGATAATTTAATTCAGAACCCCCAATCCTGCCCTAATGTTTGCAGAATTGTTCACCATATGTAAAATTTTTCCCAGGAGCAATGTATATTCCATTCTGTTTCTAAAAGGCCAAATCCCAAACTGCTGTTTGGCAGATATTCATAAATTAGCTGAGTTCTTTACAAATGCTTCCACATTCTTTCCTGATACACTGGTTTCAGGTGACTCTCACTCTAATAAACCACCTATGAAATCAGTGGGCCTTAATCAATCCTTAACTATTTGATCTACTATGTTTTACCTAACCACAACAATTATGAAGAGCAATGTAACACTTTTCATAGCATTCAGTGATCTGCGCTTAGGCTTTGACTTCCCAGAAGGGGAACATTTATAGGCTAGATTGCTTCTATGATCTCAAAATTTATTCAAGGGTTCAAAGATACCATCAGAATTCTAATCAAAGCAATGTTAAGAAAATAAAATGGGCCAGGAATGGCTCTCTTGACAAAGAACATTCTTATTGTTAAGGTATAAAACATGGTTATGTTCTTTATTTTCTCTTTATAAATTTATACTTGCATAACTTGACATATCTTTTTGACAGAGCATCTCTATGCCATGTTGTCAATACAATGCAAGAAATACAAACATTTAGCTACTCAGTCTGTTTCACAGCTAACATCTACCTAGGATTCAATATGGATTCGTCCTAATCAATGATAAAATCAATATTGTAAAAGTCCTACAGCACCTTCTGCAATTCTAACCTTAAAAATTATCCAGATTATCTTACCAGGTAGGTTTTAGGTACAAAGAGTGGATGAAGCCTTATTAAAGGGCTTACTTGGTAAATGAGAAAACAGCAGTCTCCACAGTCACCTCTTTGAACACTGACTGGTGACTGCAGTCATTGGACTGATTTT